AAAAAAAGCTATTCATGGTGGCATGCAGCGGTCATCTAGCTACATTGGGAATGTATATAGGAGGCTCACATTCCAGGCCAGCCTAGCCCAAAAGCAAGACCCTATTTCAAAAATAACAAGAGCTAAAAGTGTGGCTCAAGTGAGAAAGCACTTGCTAGCAATGATGAGGCCCTGATTTCAATCCACAGTACTGCAAATAGAAGGTACTATGTATTTTTTAATATACTGACAACTCTCTCAAGGGCTGTAGATGACTCTGTCTCAAAAGTGAGGCAACTTAACTCACACTTGCAAGCCTCAATTCCTTTGTCTAAAAAAGCCACAGAACACTAACAGCTATGCTCTAAGTATTTTACATGAATACATGGTAAGTGCTCATACAGTATTAGTTATGATTTTATTATGACATGGATTGATATGCTTACTCTATGCAAAACTCTCCAAGACTGTATCCATTATCCTTATTTTCTAGGTAAGAAAGCTGAGACACATAGGTAATTTGTGGAGGGCACAATACTGAGAAGTGAGCCATAATTTAAACCCAGGCAATCTGGCTCCAGAGCTCACACAACTAACTAAAACAAGACTGTTCTTCTTAGGTCCAACAGGATAATTTTATACATTAAAAATTATGCTTCATGCTGGGCACTGGTAGTTCACGCCTGTCATCCTAGCTACTCAGGAAACTGAGATCTGAGGATCACAGCTCAAAGCCAGCCTGGGCAGGAAAGTCTGTGAGACTCTTATCTCCAATTAACCACCAGAAAACCAGAAGTGGCATTGTGGCTCAAAGTGGTAGAGTACTAGCCTTGAGCTGAGAGCTCAGGGACAGCACCTAGGCCCAGAGTTCAAGTCCCTTGACTGACAAAAAAATCAGGCTTCACATAACCTAATGATATAACCTAATGTTGCAAGTCTCTAGCTCTTTGAACTAGACCCTTCTCATCAATTATGAGAATTATGATACAGAAACCTTTTCTGCATCATTTGCCTCCACCACTCACAATAAAGTCCCCAGAAAATCATTTACCAGAATAGCCACTACGGCTGCGGCTGAAGCTGAAATAGGAGTTATAGCCCTCGACGATAGCCAATGGCTCTGTCAGTACATCCCCTGAGGAAAAAATGTAACATAAAGTCAGAAGTAAAATAAGGAGTCTGGGATTACAGTTGTAGGCTAATTATTAGTCCACAGCAGAGCCAGAGTTGACAGTGAAAATGAAGTATCCATGATGAAAGAAGCTAGAAGTGTGGAAAGGTCAGAGAGATAATCGATAGAAAAATCAGAAAGTGAGTCAGGCTTCAGTGGCTCATGCCTGTAAATCTAGTTACTCAGGAGGTTGAGATCTAAGGATCACTGTTCAAAGCCAGCCCAGGCAGTTAAGGTTTCTGAGACTCTCACCTCCACGAAAAACTCTATTTTTTAAAAAGGCAGAAGTGGAGCTGCAGCTCAAGTGGAAGAGCATAGCCTTGAGCACAAAAGCTCAGGGACAACACCCAGGCCCAGAGTTGAAGCCCCAAGATTGGCAAAACAAAGAAATTGGTGAAGCAGGTTTGGGTGGCTAGCTATTTAGAAGGCTAAGTCCCAGAGGATCATGGTTTGAAGCCAGCCAGGGAAGAAAAGTCTATGAGAATCCATCTACAAAATTATCTGCAAAAAGTAGGGTTGGGAGAGGGGCCAAGCATGGAAGCCAAGCAAACACAAGGCCCTGAGTTCAAATGTCAGTAGAATGAAAAAAGTTAGAAGGTGAGAAAATGAAGACAACCTACAGAGACAGCTTACAGAGTGGAGAATTAGTGAGGAGCAAAGAGAATTAAGAATTAAGCCTGGGAGCTTGATGGGAGGGTATGAGGGATGGGAAATGGAGATGGATGTAGGAGAAGGACTGGGGAATCTCAGTTGGAGTTAAGAGGGAATTAGAGAGTGGAAATGAAAATGAAGATAGGAAAAACTAAGAGGATTTAGGAAGGGGGAGAGGAAATTAGGAAGTCTAAGCTTGGGGTGGGAGTGAACTGAGAATTAGAGACTCTGATCTCAAGAAAAGACATGAGGGGGATAAAGGAAATTGGGGATGTGGAATGGATGAAAATGAGAGTCTGAAGTGGGGACAAAGGTGGGATGGGAATTGTGGGATCTGAGCTGGGAGCAGGATTGAGAATTGAGGAAGTCTGACTTATGGGTAGGAATTGGCAGTGGGGAGGTTGGCGTTAAGGACTGAGTTGGGGGTGATAGAACGAGGTGGAATTTGAATGACGTGAGGGCACCAAGTGGGGAGGCAATTAATGTTCTGTGGAACACAGGAGATGGGGAATTGGGGGCTGTAGGTGGAGTGAAAACAGACGTTTAAAATGGATGGGGATTTGGAGGTGAGTCTAAGGGAAGGACTCAGTATAGGGAAATGGGAAAGAAAATGCGATGGAACAAGGAGGCAAGATTAGCAAGAAAAGGAAAAAAAAATACATGGTAAGGATCTTAGATGGAGTGCTCACTGGTCACTTTGGTCTCTTGGAAACAGACGATATCCGCATCCAGCTCATCCAAAATACGTTTTGTGGTCATGGCACTGTTGCGTGCTTCCTGGCATAACGCCCCTTGCTGGGGGCTTCGGATACCATTGATATTCCAGCTTATTAAACGCAACATCCTAAGCAATCTAGGACGTTTCAAAAAGTCCCAGCAGCCACAAGCGAGTGGTTGACCGCGCTAAAATCGGCCAGACTCCGCCTTCCACTCCCGTTTGCGCAGGCGTCCTCTCGCGTGCCTCGGAAGGACTTGACACACTCTGGGTGGGGCTTCGAATTCCTCCATTCTTATTGGCAGCGGGCGGAAGTCAAAGGGGCGGAGTAGATACCGAGGAGGAAAGAACCGCCAAAGAAAGTTTTCTGGCCAGGCTTCTTTTCTCCACTCCTCACTCTGTCCCCAGGTCCCGAGTCTATCTGCCCTTCTCCTCTGTTCAAAAGTTTCTCCTTGGTGTTTCCGGTGACTTACAAATGGGATTTTGCCTCTTTTTAAGCGGCGGAACTCATCAGAACGCGGAGACCGAAGTCCCGCCCCATGTGCCAAAAGACCGCCTACCTAAGTGCGCCTTTGACTGTGGCGCTTGCGCCGCGGCAGTCGCTGACGCTATGTGCTCTCACAGGGCTGGGGCGGAGGGAACTTCGCGGTTGGAAGAGGGAGCCGTAAGAACCGATCTAGTGGGCTAAGACTTGGGAGGATAGCCTCTAGTTTTATTGGGGCAGGAGGAGATGATCCCAAATCGACCCTAGCCATTTTTGGCTTCATCTCATAGCATCCAGAACGATGTGGCCAAACATACAATTTTGCTCTTGGTTCCATTTTCCAGATGAGTAAAATCGAGGCCTAGAAATTTTAAGGTCCTGAGAAACCATGCCTCCTGATCCAGCCATGGCTTTTCCGTATACGTCATTTCATTCTCAGGACAATCCAGTAGGAGGCGTTGAAGAAAGGAAAGGAATTAAGTACATTCACCTTATTCTGACAGAAATGCTAGAGCCAAGATTCAAAACCTTAATCAGCTCAAGGATTACTTTCCTGAGTAAGATTTCACTGACCACATGCCTCTCATTTAGGTCTTTTCCTTTGGGTCTCCCTTTCCCAACACCCTGTGGCCGCCTTGTCACTTCACCTAACACAATGGACAGTTACCATTAACTTCAATTTCTGTTGCCATAAGTCACCCAGCAGTAACAGCTGTTTCTATTCTTTTTTTTTTTTTTTTTTTTGCCAGTCCTGAGGCTTGAACTCAGGGCCTGGGCACTGTCCCTGAGCTTCTTTGTGCTCAAGGCTAGCACTCTACCACTTGAGCCACAGCTCCACTTCTGCCTTTTTCTGTTTATGTGGTACTGAGAAATCAAACGCAAGGCTTTATACATGCTAGGCAAGCACTCTACCACTAAGCCACATTCCCAGCTCTATTCTATTTTTTTTTAACTGTATATTTTTTGTCTTGTCTTTTTTGGTACTGGGGATCGAACCCAGGACGTTGCACTTGCTAGGCAAGCGCTTTGCCACTGAGCTACATCCCAGCCCTCTATTTTATAACACTGGACATAGCTAACAGGAGGGAATAAATATTTATTAGATGAATGAATGAATGACGATAGCAATAACAACATGTTCGTAATTTGGGCTTTTTAAGAAGGAGGTTGTTTTTGTTGTTGTTTGCCCTGGTACTGGGGCATGCTTAGTGCCTGGGCACTGTCCCTTAGCTTTTTTTTTTCTTTTTTTCTCAAGGCTGGTGCACTGCCACTTGAGCCACACCTCCACTTCTGGATTTTTGCTAGTTCTTTGGAAATAAGGGTCAAGAATCTCACAGACTTTCCTTCCCCAGCTGGTATTTAACTGTGATCCTCAAATCTCAGCCTCCTGAGTAGCTAGGATCACAAGGGTGAGCCACCATCACTTAGCCACAACTTATTTTTGAGAATATAAAAAACAAAAATAATAGGCATGCCAAATTTTCAGGGAAAAGTACAACTATGCATCTCTAGGTTTCTCACCCAGAATGGTAGCAAATTGTTTATTCCCAAAATTTCAGTTATAAAAATAATCATTTTTGATGGCTGTAAAAAGGACCCTGAGGAGCTACTTTACCTCACAGAAGACTCAAAGGTTGCTATAAGAAAATAGCTCTGTAATTAAAATACAAATTTCTGTGCCTTGAGCCTCATCATGGCTTGGGAGTTACTTACTCAGGATTGAATCCCAGGAGTGGGGCTAACTAGGACAAAGGAAATGAGCATTTTTCTTGCTCTTGCTTCACATTACCAGATAGCTTTCCAGTAAAGAATTGTGCCCATTTGTACTGAAGACCAGTCTGAAACTCAGCTCTAAGGAAATCCAGATCTTGCTTGTCTTGACAGCTGGTTTTAATTTCTCCATTCTGCTGTGGCTTGTTAATATTAGTTCTGACCTTTGGGGCAAGGTGAACACATGGTTGGATTGAAGAGAAAAGGCTCCGGGTGGCTCAGGAACTTCTTTGGCAACTATAGCAGCTGATATTTCAACAGAGTACACACATCCTTAACAAGGGTGCTTCCTCAGCCTTCCCAGGAACCAACAAATATCTCCAAGTTTCCTCTTTGATGACACCTACTGGATCTGCTTTGGGGGTCTGTAAATGCAGGAGAGCTGTCGAATAATTAGTGATGGAAGAAAAATCCTCAAACAGAACAGGTAGGTAAGAAAGAAGGAAAGGTAGACAGGAGTTACACAAATCCAAATCCATTCCTTGGGCTCTCTGTACAGTTCTTTGCATAAGAGGTGGGTTGAAGTATCTATGAATGGGTATGGGAGAGTTGGGAAGAAAATGGTATCTCTAATGTACCTATTTATTTTTCTTCATTCTTGCCTGGCTTTTTAGGACAGTGGGATAAACTGCAATTATCTAGCATCTTTGGAAGTTTCTCCAGCATGTACAGTTTGAGTGAAATGTGTGCTAAATATTATATCTTGTACTTCCTCTATTGGTATAAAATATAAGGTTGATTTGCTATGACACTTTGAACAAGCTGCTTCAGCTTTCCTGAGTATCAGTAGATTCCTCAGTAAAATGGATATTGAAATCCCTAGCCTACTTCCCCCAGAGGGCTGAAGATCACGAAGGGTGAGAAAATAGAGCCAAATCTCTTTAAAGACTACTGCCTGAGAATACCACACCTGCTTTTTTTTTCCTGTAGTATCCATGGCAGTACCACCCACAACCCTCCAAGTATGCCTCTCCCTGAGTCACTATGCTTTATAGAAAACCACTTCCAGCGTTACTATGCAGTAAGCTGGGGCCCAGGTATGGGGCTGAAAATAGTAGGTGGAGGGAGTGATGGGCTGGGGTAGTGACTGAGAAGGAAGTAGATCATAAACTGATGCCACAGAAGTCCTTGTATGTACTTATGTACTTACACCTAGCCCATACACTTATGGCCAACCCCCTCTCAGCCCTCTAACACCTCTCAATGCATTTACATTCACATATCCTAAGTATTACAACTAAGAAGACCCTATTTGTGATTTTATTTCTCATCAATATTTAAATAGGACTGAGATTGGGACATATGGGTGTCAAGAAGTAACACTGTATACTTTTCTGCCCTAGAGATAGACCCATTTTAGAATTTGTGGCTTAGCTCTTAATTCTGCAGTGGGAATCTGATGCTGAGTGAACCCTTTTTACAATCAGTTCATTGGACCTTCTCAGAGGGCACTTCATTCTTTTGTTTATTCTGTCCACCCCACCCACGATGTATGGTTGAGAAATCTTCCTGGGTGCCATCTTCTACTTCAGACCTAGTCAGTTCTCCCATCTCTGCGCAGCTCTCTGGTTGAGCTGAGATTACCAGCTGAGATTACCTATCCACATCTAAAACACATGGATACAAACAGCTCAAATATTCATTTGGCATAGTCTCAGCTATGCCAGAGACTAAGATGAACACTGAAAATATAGATCCCAGGAATCTAGTTCCCATTCTTCAAGGAGCCCCCAGTCTAGTAGGGAAGCAGACCCAGGAAACATGAGTGGATACTTCTCAGACAGTGGAGGCACCTGGGCAATATAAGAACCAAAGAAAAAGCCTCTCAGGGTTACAAGGCTGACTTCATAGGAAAGATAACCATGGAAACAGACCTTATAGAGTGAGTCAGATTTCCTTGAAAATGGAAGGGAAGAGAAGGAATTCCAGGCTGAGCAAAAGTCTGAAAGAGAGTACATGAAGGTATGTTTGGGGGCCATGTGAATCAACCAATGTATATAATATCAGGGTCAGCCAAGTGCCAATGGCTCATGCCTGTAATCCTAGCTACTCAGGAGCCTGAGATCTGAGGATCGCAGTTCAAAGCCAGCGCAGGCAGGAAAGTCCATGAGACTCTTATCTTCAATTAACCACCAGGAAACTGGAAGTGGCGCTGTGGCTCAAGTGTTAGAGCACTCTCTCCTTGGGCTGAAGAGCTGAGGGACAGCTCCCAGGCCCAAAGGTCAAGCCCCATGACCAACAAAATAATAATAATAATAAAGTAGTAAAACATGATGGTCTAAGGAGAGATAAGACTTGGCAGATAGATTGGGCCTTGATTGAGAAGTAGCTCGATTGTGAGGTTGAAGACTTGCCATAAAGCTTGTTTCATTTGGTTATGGTAGAGAAATATTGTGTAGATAGTTTGAGATACTTTTAAATTGGGCTCTCAAACCTGAACCCTAGATTTACCCTTTTAGACCTTGTTAAAAAAATCCCACTAGCTGTCTATCTCAGATTTCTTGCTACTAAAATTATATCCTTACCTCTTTGGCAGAGTCATGAGGACAAAGTTACAAACATAAAAGACATGTTTATGTGACTGGCTAGGTTACAAATGTGAAAGAGTTATAAGATTATCAGCATTAACAGAATTTTTACCAATTTAGAAATATAGGATTAGAAGAGTTGTATCTATTCTAAAATCTGTCTCTGAGCGTAAGTTTTGTGTTAATCTGGAAGTCCACATCTGAAAATGTTTTAACTTTTAATTGACATATAATTGTACATATTTGTAGGGTGCCATGTAATATTTCAGTACATGTATACAATGTGTAACAATCAGATCAGGGTAATTGATAAATCTCTTATCTCAAGCATTTACCTTTTATTCTTCTGGAAATACTCAAATGTCTCTACTATTTTGAAATATACAGTGATTTGTTTGTAACTATCACCACAGCTATCCAACTGTGCACTTGAACTTATTCTTCCTGATCTGGATATAGCTCAGTGGTAGAGTGCTTGCCAAGCATAGTCAAGGCTCTCGCTTCATCTCCAGTACCATACACACAAAAAAGAAGTTATTCTTCCTATCCAAATTCATCCTGCACCTGTTAACCATTCTCTCCATCCCTCACCCCTTTCCATACTCTGGTACCCACTATTCTACTCTCAACTTCTTGAAATCAGCCTTTTTAGAATATGCATATATGTGATAACACAGTATTTGACTTTCTGTTCCTGAGTTAATTTACTTAACATAATCTGAATGATTCCATTCTTATCCTAACTTCATCAATTAACCAAACAAAAGACCCTGGACTGGGAGAAATTAGGTTCCTAGTATACCACTGACTTAGTCACTGATTTGCTGACCTTAAAAAATATTTCCCCTCTCTAGGTCTGTTTTTTTTTTAACCTGAGAATGAACATGAGATGAAATGATCTGTGAAAAAAATGAATCCATCTTTCTAATTGACTCTCAGGAGCTCCTTATTATTATAAATGTTAATCCTTTGTCATAGTCTAAGTTTACTGATGAAAGTTACTGATACGTTGAAGGGGAGACTGGTCATTTACCTCACAAAGTGTTAGATAATATATATTTAGCATTTCCAAGGTTGCTTTACATGCATTAATACATTAAATCTTCAGTAACCTTTAGTAACTTATGTGGGGTGGCAAGGCAAAAGTGACTGAAGATCTCTGCTTTGCAGTAAAGAAAGTAGGCAGACATTTTCAGGTTCCATTTTCTCTCTAGTGTCTCTTATGCAGCAGTGTCTCACATGGGCAGTGATGGTATTTTACTGAGGTTGTGTGGTTCCATGGCCTGTTGTTCTTAACCACTGTGACCCACGGCTTCAGTAGATTTGTTTTAAATAGATGGGCTCTGATGTGGAATATCTGATATGATTTATATGCAACAACTGGAGAGAATCTAATCTTTGTGTAGACTTAAGTCTCTGAGAATGTGTTTTAGGGTGATTCTTTGAAAGTCAAAGTGGATCTGGGAACATTTGAGGACAAGGGTTGGAGATTTCAATCCCCAAGAGATTGCCCTTGTGTCTCTCAGCTCAGTGGAAGAAAGTTGAACTTCTAAGTGGCCAATCACTGACGATTCATCAGAGGGTGGGAGAGTTGCAAAATAATGAAGTCAGAGAACACTTGGACATCCGCCAGGCAATGCTGTGCAGTTACATGAGTTCTATAGATAAAATCCTCAAAATAACCAAAGAGGGGACTGGGGGAGGGCAGGAGAGCAGAAACAAGTGAACAGGAGACATTTGGGTGAGGTGGCCCTGGCCTAGGGAGTTGTCCTGCTTACACTCTTCCTGCTGCAACTTCCTCCCTCCTAGCCACCATCTCATCTTTAGCCAGGTTTGGGATCAGATATGATGCCTTTATCCCTAGGGCATGTCATGGCAGCTGGCAGCCATGGCAGCAGTGCTTACCATCTCTCCCCCTCCACAATGGCTACATGCACTCTTCTTCCCAAGGTGTCAGGTTTACTCTGATTTATTTAGTCTTGGCTGGAGAGAGTATAAAGTGCCAGTCTCTCCAAGAGTGCCCCAGATAGCACATTTTAGGAGGGAGAAGCCCTGCGGCAGGGAAGGCAACCGAATTCAGAAGAAGACAGGGTTGCAATGACATTTTGGGTGCGGGTGAGCAATGAGGCAGTGAATCTTCCACTTCCAGTTTAGTCTTTAATTGCTAGCTCAAAACATTGCATTTTTCATTAGGTATTTTGTGTATGTGAGTTTGTTCTTGGGGCCCTTGCATTTCTGTGTATCTCTCTTTCTGGGTTGCAGCTTGAATTGTACTTGAGTTGATTTTTTAAATATGTAGAGACTCTCCTCCATCACCTTTTCCGTGCCACTCCACATAGATGTAAGCACATGATCTTTGGTCTTTTATTTGCATACTCTACTAGTCCTGTCTTTATTGGTGGGAAGTTACTGGCCAGACCTGGGCTGTCTTACTGGCTGCCTTCCTTGCTGGGCTCCAACTTATCTCCTATGTACACAGCTCTTGGAGTTCAGAGGCCTTTGCTGACTTTTGCCCAGCCTTTCACTCTCAGCACCCAAGTCCCCACTGGTACATACAGGGGCAGAGGTAGACTAGGACTAGAGGACAAAGAAGAGGGAGCTGGAGACAGCCTGGGAGAGGCTCAGAAGTCCAGTGTGCCTCCTCTGTCCCAGGCCTGTGCACCTGCTACTCTGGCTACAGTAACAAAAGTAAGGATAGTTAGGAAGATAGGAAGTGAGGCCTGGTTCCTTGTAGACATTGGTATCATTAGCTGCACAGCCTAAGATGTCTCAAGAGATGGGAGAACTCACCCAAACCAGATTACAGAAGATCTGGATTCCACACAGCAGTGACAGCAGGCTACAACGGCGGAGGGGCTGTAAGTGGGGCTTATTTCTGTGGGTGGTGGTGGTAGAATGG